GTTCGGGAAGCACATCCACTTCACCGGCCCCGCCTGGCTCGCAACATCTGGACTATTTGCACGCTGTTTAGGGCAAGTGCCCAGCCTTCTCCAGGTAGTTGGCGATCTTCTTGCTCTGCGTGGACTTGCCGCTCCGGTCCAGACCTGGCTTTGGTAATTTCCAAGCGGGCACAGGCTCTCAAAGCCGGCGCCAACCCCGCCTTCGAAAACCAGGAAGAGGCCGCGGGAAGCCCCGGCGGCCCACACGGGGCGTTCCTAACACAAGACGAAGCCAGGCAGTCCGACAGTCCCGGCTTGCCTAAAACACGAGGACAGTGGAACTCAACACAAGTCCCAGAGCCTGTGCAGGGATGTCCAGGGCCCGCAGCGCGCTCTCAATGTTCGTGATCTCCGCCTGGCACTCCAGAGTGCAGAGTGCATGCGATCTTGCTGACTGGGCCTAAGCTCGCCAGAGGTGCCGGATCTAGGTTGCCTTGTCTGCTGCTGCGAAGCGCAACTGCCACCTGGTGCAACGCCGAGTTCCAAGATGACTTTGCCAGCAAAGCTAAGCGAGTCTGAGACCCTTGCAGATTGAACCAAGTTCGCATTGCTGCTGCACACAGTCTTCGTAAGACCTGTGCGACATCATCCGCTGCATGCACAAAGAGCTAGCAAGACACACTGCTACTTCCCAAGGTAGCGATCTCCCACTGCGAACTCAACCAACCTTCCAGGCACCAAACAACAACTGCAAGTGCAGCAGTTTGTATAAATTTGCTAAACAAAACTGTAAAGAGAACACAAAGGCTTCCCAAACTCGCGGCTCCTGCGGCGCTCCGGGGCTCTGACAGCTTTTCTGGAACTCTGCCAGGATCGTCTCCTACCGGAAGTGGCTCTCCGTGCTCAGGATTGGGGATCTCTTTAACGGGTGGGCTTTGAAACTTCAGGCATCGCGATTCTCGAGATTTGCAGACTTGTGACCACCTGCGTTGTTGCTCAGCTGGTGAGCAGGTGGATCGTGATGGCGACCATATCATCACCCGCATCACCATCATCCTACCCGGTCCTACTTGTCTCATCACCATCATCATCATCAGCACACCGGGATCAACATCATTTTCAGCGTCAGCATCAGTGTCAGCATCAGCGTCAGCGTGTTGTCGCTACCACGTTGTCGTCATCCACCAGCTCCAACACCACCGTCACCATCATCAAAAGCCCAAGCCTCAACATCACCACCACCACCACCACCAGCTCCATGGACATAACCACCGCCGCCCCCGCCGCCGGACCTCAGTTTCCTCCTTTATCACGAGAGAACATCAGCATCAACTTGCAAAGCTCACGAGGGAAGTGGAGGGTTCCTACAACCGCGGAGCACGGCCCAAGCCCACGAAGCCCTCGGCAGGGCACGTCACCGGCATCAGCAAGGAACTTGCTGGCTTATCACCAAGCTTCCCTTCCCACCATCATCAGCGTTGTCATCATCTCACCCCGGAGCCGTTTTCTTACCACTGTACTTAGAGGATCATGGGACTTAGTACGTAAGGTTATGAGTCCCTTCATTGGGGTTATAAGTATAGTTACCCTAATCATAACCCTACTTACTAAGTCCCATGATGCTTTAAGCAGGGGCCAGCCCTGCCTCGCTCGGAACTGGAGTTGTCTCTGAGACGTCAGCCATCGGCCTGTGAACTCATTGGGGCCACTACTTGGAGGTTCGTGGGTAGTTGTAAGTAGGGTTACAAGTAGGGTAACTATAATTATAAACCATATTAGGGGACTTATAACCCCACTTATAACTACCCATGAACCTCCAAGTAGGGACCACAAGGACACGGAATGGAGGCTCGAGGACCTGATTGTAAGGTCCGTTTTGGCTTTTTTTTGGGGATCCCAGTTTCCGGGCTTCCGAGCTTTAGGATTTGGGGGATTTAAGGATTTTCGGTGTTCAGACCTTTGATTCGGGGACGTGGGTTTCCCATATGGCACCGTAAGGATCCTGAGGATCCGCAGTGGGACGCGAAGCCTCATTGCTAGGCTGCCTTAAGAACCCAGCCCATGCAACATGCCGACCGGTGTCGAGCTAAAACCGAAACCCAAAAAAGAAAATGCAACACTCTTGGCGCGATCAACCACCCTTCCAACAACGGGCCGTGCTACGATCAAGTGTGGCAACGCTTCGCTACGCAACACGTGTGCACCCAGGGAAGCAACAGTCAAATTCAGCCCGTCGACGTGCCAGCAAGCACGCACGTAGTTCAGGTCGGGCAGCGCCGTAAGATCCGAGAAATAGTGCGACTTTGCGTTTCCACGGCAGTCTCGCAGCGCGGAACGCCAAAGAGCAAACCACCGGCCACGACGAGTCACACCATGAACGCGAGTGTGGCCTCAATGCCACAGTATTCCAGGCCCCATTTGCACGACAACCAGGGGCCGGCCTGCAGGAAGTCCAGCTTAGCCTGACCGCGCCATGCTTGGCAGATTGTCACGCCACCCACCTTGCCTGTGATGCAGGCCCCAAACTCCAAGCAATGCTGATGCACATCGACGTCGCAATGCCCCTCGTAGCTCCTTTCGCGGCCGAATCATGCTGTGCAGTTGCCCATGCCTTCGACAGGCGCGCAGTGCTTGCGATCTGCACGCGGGCCCCCGGATTTGGGTTTCGGGCTAAGCCCTAAGCCCCAAAACGCAAACCCTGTAACAAAGCCCGATTGGCCCCACTTGTAAAGCACGCCCCAAGCCTCTTTGGAATCTCCTCGCCGAGGACACCGGCCTAGCTTGGCATGCAGGGTTTTAAGAGGTCTAGAAGCTTTGAAGATTCTACTTCTTGGAGTTTAAGCTGAGTTTAAGGCTGACGTTTCGGCTTTGGGAGTGCGGGGTGTGATGTTTAGGGGATAATATAGGGGCCTTAATAAATAGAATAGGGTTTGGGGGTATATTATACTATGGTTACAATAAGGAACCCCCAAAGAGTATAGGGGGTCTAGGGCTTTGCGGCTTGAGCTTGGGGTCTAGGGTCGAGTTTGCCGCAAGTTTCGATTTTCTTGCGGGTTTCACGGTTTTTTTGCTTGGGGTTGAGGATGCAAGTCCTGGGGTTTCGAAGTTGAGTTCTATTTGGGGTTTAGGGTTTAGGGTGTAGGGGTAGAAGGGTTGAGGCAAAGTTCTGGATTTGAGGCTTCGCGATTGAGGGCCTCAGGCCATCGTCGCCTTCATCATCTCCCTCTCATCCTCATCATCCTTTCTGCATCATCATCCCCACCAGAATACCGCCATCCACATCATCAGCACCTCAAACTTGGAGAGTGGGACTGGGACGAAAGCGGGTAGACAGAGAGTGGCCAACCGGGAGTACTATGAAACAATGCCCAAACAAGCCAAAAACACGTATACGATTAGCTCACTTTGCCGGAATCCTGAGTGTAAATACGGTAAGTTGTTGGGATGCAAAGCTCGCTAGTTGCTAATCAAGGGAATCACCAGCACAAAACCAACAAACTCAAGAACCGCACGACTGGTGAAAGTTGTTAAGCATCTGGTCTGTGGGCGGGGTGAAGCATGCACTGCAGCAAAACCAATTTCAGACGACCCAGGATGCGAGCAACGGGCATCTTGACGCTTAAGCCGAAGCAGAATCTGACACATGCCACGGCATTGAGCACATGTGCCAGATGCGTGCCCTGCCACCCCTGCAACCTGAAAAAGCCAAGCACGCAAAACCCTGCATCATCAGCATCATTGGCTCCTTACTTCTCCTTTAAATGCTCTGCCACCCCTCCAACCTGAGAAAGCCAAACACCCGAAACCCCGCATCATCAGCATCATTGGCTCCTCGCTTCTCCTTTAAATGCTTGTTCGCATCAATTGAACAGTCGGGTGGGTTCGCAAACTGGTGCTGAGAGAGGCTCAAGCCACCCCTGATACAAGCAAAGCTTTGCTTTGGTAGATAGCTCTGCTAGCCCTCAAACTCTAGCTTGCGTGATTACCCAGCAAGGAACAGCAACAAACGTGCAACAGGCCTCCGCCCCCTCAACGAAACGCTGTACCGTAGCTCGCTGCTCCTCGAGAGCTGTTGCCTGGCCGACCCCCGAAGCAAAAAGGATCAACAAGCCAATGACAATACGTATTCCCAACACGATGCACCTTCTAGTGCAGCATAACCGTCTGCTCGTGGGCTACAGTGCAGTCTGGTATATCGTAACAGACCTTACGATACCCTAGAATGGAATACTTTCATTGCAACAATCCACGAAATTTCAACACGCACTCCCTTGCCCTGGCAGCCGTGCGGCTTCTGAACTCCGAGTCCCGGAACCCGTCGGAACTCGGAGTCCCGAAACCCCTTAAACTGGACACGATTATCATCCCGCGACCCAAGATCCCCAACCCTAAAGCCCAAAGACCCAAACCCTGAAAACCCCAAACCAAAACTTTCAAGCAGCCCCAAGATCCGACAACACCTACACCCTCCCTTGACCTGAACCGCTAAAGCCCCAAACCTGACAGCCCAAAAGCCTAAAACTCTGGAAGGCCCCGCATCCTAAATCTACCTCCCTAATCCCTAACCCTTAAGGTAACCCCATGCCTGACTTGAACAACCCTAACCCTAAACCCCACGCCCTGAACCCTAACCTCCCGAAACCCGAAGCCGTTCTGCAACCTGGAAAGCTTGAAAAGTCTGATTCCGAAACCCACAAAAACAACCCAAAACCTTAATCCCTAAACCCTAAACCCTCAGCAGTGTAACTGGCCCAGGGCGCTGCGCCCGAGCGGAGGGCACGGACGCCGCTGAGTGCGCGACCTGGCGCCGCAGTGATCTGGTTTAGGGTTGTAGGGTTTGGGGATTAAGGTTTAAGCACTGGTTGTGGGGTTAAGAGTGTTACGGTTTACGCTTGACAGTTCATGCATTGGGGTATTACGGTCTAGGGCTTAAGCGCTGGGGTTTGGGCTTTGGGTTCTAGGGTTTGCGGTTGAGGTTCTATACGGGCTCTACAAGGGCTTGGAACTTAGGAGTTTAGGGTTTGGGTGTCAGGCCTTGTTGCTTTAAGTCCAAAGTTCAAAGCTTGGGTTTGGTTCAGGTAATGGCCGAAAAACGGCGGGTTTGCGGCTTGGGTTTCGGGTCTAGGGCTTGCGGGAATTAGGTTTAGATGTACGGTGTAGGGTTGGCGAGTTTTGGCTTCGAGATATAGGATTTAGGAGTTTGGGGCATGCGGTGTTTGGGACGACTGCAAGGACTTGAGAAGCTGGAACCGTTGAAAACATAGCAAGTGCAGCATGTCTGACGGACATGACAGAGTCCTTAGGGTTTAGGGTTTAGGGTTTGGAGTGATTGGCCACAAGGGTGTTGAGCTGTGAGTGCCCTCGTTTCCGGGAGGCTACCACCTGAGATACCCAGATCCCTGTCTAACGCTCCGTGCGCCTTGCAAAGTGTGGATCTCCACGTTGTTGGCCTCGACGTGCCGATCTGCTTCCTGTCGAGAAACTCGGGGCATCGAAGTCTAAATCCCCAGAACATAAGCCGCCTGCCACCTGCAACCCAACCTGCAGGTTTTGCAGTTTTCAGCATAGAGAGCGCTTCAGACGAAGTTTTGTCCAAGTTGCAAGCAAACTTCGATTCGGAGGCGACGCAGAATCAGTGGTTTCAACATCTACTTTGGCGTTGTCTGGCGGCAGTGTGTGAGACTACAACACTACCACAACTACCAAGCCCCACATTAGTGACACCAACACAAAACACTGAAAACATCTTATAAAAAACCCATGAAATTCTGATAAACACCGACAACAACCGCCGAAAAAGCCCTATAAAAAGCCCGCAATGAAGGCTCTTAAAGGCGCCGTGCGGCTGTGCCCGAGCCTCTTCGATGCTGGCGGCAGCATCGCTTGCGGTCTGGATCATCTTGTCCTCGTCCTTCCATAGAGCTTAAGGCTGAGGGCTTAGGGTTTAGGGTTTAGGGTTTAGGGTTCAAATTCTCATCCTATAAAGTTTTGGGTTTCGGTCCTCGTCCGTTCATAAGGTTCGGGGTTCAGGGCTTAGTCACAGTCACTTCACGAGATTGATTGAAGGTAGTAGGGTTCTCGAGGGTTGCAGGATACTATTGGGTCTTGGGTTAAAGGGGTCTGTTGGGTTAAAGGGGCTACTACGGGGCAATAGGGTACTATTGGGTTATTGGGTATGAGTAGGCACGATAGGGTCATAAGGCTCTTGGGTTTAAGGTTATGGGATCGCATCCTGGCCCTTTCCAGAGCTCGAGGTTCTCGGTTGTAGGATCCGGGGTTTAAGAACTAAGGCCTAGGGTTGTTTTTCAAAGCACATGCTTCCGTCAGCTTAGGTTTGGGGTTGCTTAGGGCTTCAGGATTGAGGCGCAGCCGACAGCACCGAGCCACACCACAAAGACCAAAACTTCCGCAGTCCAATGCTGCCGTTGAAAACCTAGAAATCTGAATTCTGAAGCCTGAAACCCAAAACCATAAACCCCAAATCAAAGCCGACCTCCACACACTTGCCCTGCACTTCTGCAATGGAGTCCCAGCGCTTCTGCCTCAGCCCCCAAGACGGGTTTGGCCTATAATTGGTTGCGGTACGGGTATCTGCAAGGGTTGCACAAAGGGTTATTACAAGGGCTCCTGTGAAAGCTCCCATAAAGGTTGCTTCAAGGGTCTAGGAGTGTAGGGTTTTAGTGCGTTTCTTTTCGGGCTTGGGGTTTAGGAGACGAGGCTTTAGGCTGTGGCCCTGTGCCCAAACCCTCAACCCGATGCCCTAAGCCCCAAGCCCTGTATCCCAAACACTAAGCACTGAACCCTGAACCCTACTCCAAGGATTCTAGGTCTTAGGTCATGGATGGAGAGAGAGAGAGAGAGAGAGAGAGAGAGGATCTCTTATATCCGTTTATACAACCGTATATATTCATTTACGTGCGTAGTTGTTTGCATCGACGTATCCACTTACGTCTTCATGCCTCTGCTGTGTTTACGTGTATGTAGATGCTCGTGAGTTTGTTTACCATGCCTGTTTAATCAGCTGTGCTAGTTGCTTATCGCGCTGTTCTCAACCCTGTTCCTAGCCGTAGAGCCGTAGAGCCTGAAACCTCGGAACCTCCAACCCATGAACCCTCAACCGCCCTAAACCCTGAACCTGAAAACCCCGGACCTAGCCCATCGACCCTAAACACGAAACCCCTGACCCTTAAGCCCTCAACCCCTAAACCCCTAAACCCCTAAACCCCCAAACCCCCAAACCCCCCAAACCTCCGAGACGCAGAGCCTCAAATCGAAGGGACGAGCATCTAACCCTGAGCTTTCGCCCGACCTCTAGGCCTCCCTGCGCGGCATCTAGGGCAGCAGCAGCTTGCCTCCGTTCTCTTCGGGCCGATGAATACTGACGGTTTAGGGTTTAGGGTTTAGGGTTTAGGATTTAGGGACTGGTTCGGGGCGTGAAGGGTTTCTTGGCTTAGGGTGTCTTCCGGTTTAGCTCACCTGCACCCTATCTTTGAGCTTCGGGCTCCTCACCCCAAACCCCTG